CGGCGCAGTTCTAATTTGAAACTGGGCAAGAATTTGTATACTTGATGGGGGTTTCGAAGCGTGCTTCTGCGCGTTACAAAGATATTGAAAAAAAAAAAAAACTCAAGTTTTGATACACTGTACTATTGACTAGGCCTAGTCAATTTTTTCCAATTTTGTACAGGGTAGGTGTTAAAGCATCGCCCAAAGAATATGCGTTGAAATTTTTGTGCATTTATCTGTTGCAGTTTATGAATAATGAGCAGAAAAACAATTTTTTATATCTTTTGAAAATTGGAATTGTTCTCAGTTTGCGTGGCACTGTAGGCGTATCCTGCGACCGATTCGGCCCCTCTCGCAATACCAATCTACGTACAAGCATTTTCAATATTTCGGTCAAACTTAAAGTCGATTCGCGCGCCAAGAGAATATTTACAACAGACATTACAAAGATGGACAGATGGACATGCTTGAACCGGTTCCCGATCTGATGCTGATCAAGGACATTTACATACTCTGTGGGTTCTCTGAAGCTTCCGTCGAGACGTTGCGAACATTTTGACAAAATGAATATACATAATGAACATACAAAAAAAAAAACAATGAATAAACAAAATTCGTTCGAGCTAGAATCTGAAGAATGAACTAAGGTTGATACAGCGGAGTAGTAGCCGCTCGTGCAGCAGTGCTATTTTAGAACTGTCACGATGAAATTTTGTGCAGCTGTTACGCGCTTTCTCTCATTCTGCAATAGAATGAAATAAGACGTTTGAGCGGTTCATTGTAAATGATAAATTGATCTTTTCATTGATTTTAATTAAATTTTAATTCAAAATTTAATTTATTTGCACAATTACCGAGAATTTTCTTAAATACTTGTTGCAGCAGATGCTGCAAACCAAATGCTTTTTAACGACATTGTCAACAAATCTCATCGAAACTCTTACGAAACTTTTATTTAATGTCTTCCTTTATTTTGTATTATATTTATTTCATTAATATTTGTTCTCCCATTTATTTCTTTCTCCATTTTATTCGACATAGTATAAATATAATTCTAGTGATTTTTGTAGTTTCATTTCATTTTATTGTGTTTCAACTGATTTTTTAATTATAATATAGAAAGACAAATAAAACGGAATCGCTGTGTGTGTGTGTGTGTGTGTGTGTGTACGAAAGCATTAAAAATAATCCTTTAAAAGAGATTTCCTTACTCTACCTCAGATAAATTAATATATATTTGAAGTACAATACTCCTCCATTCCATAGCAATATCTTATCATATAGATGGTTGTATGCCGTTGACTTCCATGTTGAACTAAAGCTATTCATCTAAATTTATTTAAAAATGGTAAGGCAATTGTAGCCGGATACGACCGAATCAGTTAAGCTCATTAGTTAGCTTTGCTTATATAAAAAGTGAATGACAAAAATGGAAATTTTGTACTCTAAACTATTAAGTTAGGATGACCAATGTGTTACATTATTATATGGACAAAGAGCATCTATGGAAAATTGGCGGAAATTTTGTTTGTTATAGATCTGTTACAGTTGATGAGTAATGAGCAACAAGTACAAATTTTTATATGTTTCTGAATGCCTTATTATGTTGTACTGTAGGTATGCTCTCTGGGTGATTTGGGTCCGTATTCATATATATTCCAATATATGTAAGAAAACTTTCAATTTTTTTTTCAAAATTTTAAGACAATATCTTAACTATTACGGTGAAAACTTGCTTACTACACATCTCCACACACAAACAAACAGAATGACGGATGGACAGATATGCTTATATCGATTCAAAATTGATTACCGTTGAAGATAATATTTAGTTTGTATTATCTCTGAATATATGCCCATCCTTTGGCGGGTTAAGCATAAAAATATTTACCCAAAGCTAAACTTATTTTATTTATATGGTCACTGTGTACCTTGGTATTATTATATCCATCACCAAAGGATGGGTTGTATGTTAATTTTGTGAAAACGTTTGCAACGCCCGAAAGGAAACTTCAGAGAAACCACAAGGTACATATATTCTTAATCAGCATTAAATTCTGAATCGATTCAAGCCTCTCCGCCTGTCCATCTGTGCGGTGTCTGTTGTAAATATACTCTTGGTCGCAAAAATGTATTGGCTAATGGCTTCAAATTTGGCAGAAATATTGCAAATTCTTGCAAGAAAGTTGGCATTGGAAACGGGTCAAATCGGTGGAGGGACAAGGCTGCAGTATCACTTATATTGCGAAAATCTCTGTTTTACAAATGAGATAAGAAATTGGTTTTTGGCTCATTACCCATAAACTACAACGGATAAAACTATAAAAATTTCAACATATATACTATGAGCAATGCTGTAGTGACTGTACAAAAAATGGAACAAATTGATCACATACCTTAAGAATCTCAAAAATCTCGTAAAATTCATGGCCAGCTTCACATTTCGAATGCGCCTAAATCGGTTTGTCTGTCCATCTGTCCGTCTGCCAAACAATGTAGTATCTGTTGCAAATATTTTCCCGCTCGCGAAAATGAAAATATCGCCTACAAATTTGCAAAAGAATTTGGAAGCGAGTTAAGCTTTTCAAAAGACACGATTAGAACGTATGAAGATCAGAAAAAATCAGTTGCACCCACTCTATATGAGAAACAATGAAAATTTTGTTCTTTTATTATTTTTGTCTTTTTTAGGATAACGATGATGGGTATAAAAGATTCGGTTACGACCGAATATAATTTTTTGAGTTGTTTTCATTTAAAAATGTAAAAGCAATAACATGCTTTCCTTAACTCTTATAATTTTAGTACATTGATGACATTAACAGCGTTTTGTGTGGAGAACCCGATTAACCCTCCCGCTTACATAGTATGCTTATGCACCATAAAATCATTAGATATTGGTGGCTTTCGTCCGACTTTGAAATTAACACAGCAACCCAATTTATAAAGACACACAAGCGTATATATATATATATATAAGCGTAGATATGTTTGTGCATATCTATGCTCTAAGATGGTTTCCCTTTCGTACCGGAAACCTCATTTATACAACATCTCTATAATGCTGCTGCATACACTGCTCAGTAATTATTGTTCGCCCCGGGCAACTTGGTGGGAATGTTTAGTATTGACATTACTTGAATAACACAAAAAATTGCTTAGTATATTAGGTCAAACATTAATCTTATGACTTAAACATAAAATATGCATTAAAAAGAGCGATTCTGTACAGTTTGTTCATATTGTGCACGAAATTGAAGATATTTAAAATATTGTAGAATTTTGTGTTTCGAGCGGTGCTTTTGACGATGAAAAATATTTTTTCTTTCTTTTTCTTTGCAAGCAAAGTACAGAATACAAAAAAAAAGAAAAAAACTGAAACTGAAACTGAAACTGAAACGTGCTCAGTACTAGTCGGTGCTGCATTTTATAATAAAAGATTTCCTCTGCATCAAAATTGGTTTATAAATAATTCAAAATAGAAAGTTTCACGCAATATTAAAAAAAAAAGAAAACGCTTATTTTAGTATTTTATCATAGTTGGCTACACTTTTTTTACGGAAATATTAATCCTCATTAAAACTCATCTTATCTTTTGAAGACCTGCGCATAGGGGACTATTTTTCGAGTGCCTTCAAAAGAGTAAAGGCGGCACAGGACGAATGTTGCGACTGTAATAACACATTCTGCTGAACGCAATATGTTCATATTGCATAGCGTACCATAAAAAATTCTTTACGCTTATTACAGTGATCGTTTTGTGATCGTTGTAATGGTGTCAGTTGTCCTTTATGGCGTTCGTCGGTGATGAATTCGTAGTCTTATAGTGCCCCATAATATATTACATTAAGCTAATGTTACGGGGGTAGGTGTGCCGAGTGTATTCGCCCTTAGCTAATCTATAACGATGATTTCTCTAAAGTGGTTCCTTAATTCCGTTGTCATGTCGTGTCGTATGCTCCCTTCGATTTATGGGGGAAAAAGCGAAGCTTCTCGCCTTTGCACAAAACTCAATTTATTTAAGGCTACAAAAAATTATGTCTTCTACATTTCAACGGATACTTTGCGTAAAGTCTAAAGATAAAGATTCCATATTTGGAGGTCGTAGTTTGACAAATGCTCAAAAACAATGTAATCGCGCACGCAAGGAAAGCCAATTAGGTTTACCCCCTTTTACACCCAATGTATGTCATTTTGTGTTTTCTTCTTGAAAGTGTATGTGAGAGACAAGCAATTTCTTCATTTTCTGTCCGTGAAAATGCTTTTCGCATAAGACATCTCAATCGCAAGTCGGACATGCGTACAGATGTTGCCTAGAATCTGAACTCTAATCACATTTTCAAAGCTCTTCCAACAGCGAACTCCAAAACGAAATGTCACGTTTAACGATGTCACGGAAAGAACATGGTTAAGACATTTTTCCTGCTTCACTTAATAGTACGCAACGTAACAAGTTACTAACGACTATCATCAGCCGATAATTATCAGTAACACTTTCCGATACCATCGTATCGATCTTTTTATTTTTTCCATCAAACTGTCTTATTGACACAAGCACATCCCGATGATAGAGAGATGTCAGAGGGAAGCGTAACGAACTTATGCGCATGCCATTGGATTTCGTGGAAGACATGCCCATAGACAATTGATGCACAGACATTAAAAAGACATACAAGAGTATGTCTTAGAGATTAAAGTAGTATTTCTTAACTAAATAGTGGACTTTAGCGTATTGATATATTAAACAAAAGTTAAACTAATAGAATATGACACGCCTAAGTAAAGGCAGTTGTATCTGAAAACCTTGAATATGTTTTACGAAAGTTTATTATCCAATGTTTCATACAAATAAGTTCAAGTCTATAAAAATGCATGTACATATATTTGTATATATACAAAAATACATATATATATATATATATATTTATATATATAGAAAAATACATGTATATATATATATATATATTAATATATACGTTTATCCGTACGTTATTCGTTTCGAGTCTTCGAATGCGGAGTTAAATATTTAAGTAGAAGGTGAACTGATCTCGCGGCCATTGTAGAGGCCATTTAAAATTTTCCAAATCGTTCTCAAGGCAAGAACGGAGTAAAGCGGAAATTTTCTCAGGGCCATGTATAATGAGGGTAAAATAAGAACGGCGAGCACAATCACTGCAACTGTTGTCATTACCGAAAATATAAATTTTGTTCCGACATTTCCAAATACGTCTGCGAACAAAATCAAACAAAGTCAAAGCATTTTGTATATGATGCCGTATGTCATGAGTTTTGATCTTACTTTAACTCTTGCCTGGTAATGTCAGCTATCAGCAATTCCGTTAGTATAACTAAAAGGTTGTTACACGCTTGCGTATGCTCACGAGCCAAATATTTTGACTCTCGTAGCCAAGGTCCCTTCAATTCTACAACAACTTTCCAATATGAGGGCGCTGTCTCTGAATAAATAATGGCGGATTTCCTAAATGCCTATCGTGATAAGGAAAATTCAGGAAAATCACTTCCGAACTTTTGCTTATATAAACATATTTACGAATTAGTTTACCTTAATAAATCTCATTATTGTTACGGTGTACAGCAATCTGGATTGCTGAGAATTTTCATTGCCAAGCAGACTATCCGTTATATCAAAGAAATGCAATAAAAAGTTCTCGACTTGATACATACGCGGACTAAATTGATCCTTCGTGCAGCTATCCAAGATTGGTAATAGGCAACCGCAGAATATGGAACGAAAGCCCGACCTTATATACACTTCTGTGGCCTGCTTAATGCTCTATATTGGATTAGATTAAAGATTCCCCTTTTACTTTTCATCGTATTTTAATTATTCTTATCTCTCTCTTTATCTCATACCTTGAATACTGCGCTTTTATAACTGCATCGATAAACAGTTGTACACCTTTTCAATGCTTTACGAAAATTGTGCATAATGTATTCGTCGCTTACTTCACGCATACGTTTCGATGTGGTACGTAAAATCTTATGTTGTCGGAGATTTGTGTAATCGATTATCTTTTCCAATAATTCAGGCGGCAAGTTATATATATTCAGCGGCACCGATCGCGTCGATATCAACTCTTCATGCCCAGGCGGCGATTTAAAAATTTCGCTCTTTTGAGGCAACGAGGTAGGCGGTATTTTTTCATAGCGCCCACCTTTATTATCATCCTCATCCTCGGGATCTAAATAATTTCTTTTACAATTTGCCATAGTTTAGTGCACAGAACTTATAGAAAGTGCACAGAACTTATAGAAATTATTGCGAAATTTTGCAGTTTTTACAAAATTAAATATGTTTAAATAAAACAAAATGTTCGTTTACACCCAATGAAAAACAAATGAAAAGTAACAATTTATTATGAAAAAGAAAAATCTATGAAACTGAGTTAAAGTTTACACCGAATTTCCGACATACACTTTATCTGAGTGATTTTAAAATGAGACGTACATGTCCGTCTCGATCGATGAATTCGCATAAGCCTAAGCCTTTTTTCCATCTTTTTTCCAATTAGACGATTTATGAACCTAAAGAACTATATAATTCCCTTTTCGTGCGTAAATATGATAACAAAGATAGTGAGAGAGAGAGAGAGTGAGATAAAGAGAGTGGGAGAGAGGGATAGGGACTCTACAACCAGACAGAAGTTGAAGAGAATTGAGATTAAAACTTTTGCATGAAATTTCTTACCAGATTATAAGGGCGTTACAAACGCTACAACATATCAATATATTCCTATTGCTGAATATTACATAAACGATTTGACAGATTAGAGAAATTTCCAAAGTTAATAAGAAGTAGTTTGGAAAAAAAATATTTTTTTTTTTTCAATTTTTCACATATAGCTTACATGTTTTTATACCCGTCACCGAAGGAAGAGAGGTATATTCATTTTGTGAAAACGTTTGCACCGCTCAGAAAGACGTCTCAGCGGCTCAGTAAAGTATAAATATTTTCTTCATCAGCAAAAACGCATGTCCGTCTATCGGTCCGTCTATCAGTCTGTGTAATGTCTGTTTTAAAACATGAAGCTTCGACTTCAAATTCAGCAGAAATACTTAAATTTCTTATATGCAGGTTGATATTGCACATGGGCCAAATCGATCAAAAGCTACGCCTCTAGTACCAAGTAAACTAAGAACATCTCTGTTGTTCGATAAGGAATAAAAAATTCATTTTATGCTCATTACGCTTAAATTACAGCAGATAAATATGCAAAAATTTGAATGTATATTCTATGGGTAATGTTGTAATGCCTGCACAAAAAATGGAAAAAATTGACCATGCCTACCCAATATTATATGATATCAAAAATTTAATTATTGTTTTTTTTTTTTTTGCAATGCTTTTATAAGGCCCTAAGCATGCTTCAAAAACTCTTTTAAGTATGTAAATTCTTGGTCGGTTTCAAAGCCCGTCTGCTTCGTCCGCCCTGTCTGTCCTATCTCTGTGACACACATGCTCCCGTTCGCACAAATAAAAACATCACCTACAAAATTGCCAAAGAATTTTCAAGTTACTTAAAGTTTTCAAAGACCACGCCTTTTAATTCGTAAATTGAAAAAATCGATCGCCCGTCCACTCCATATTATAGAGCATAAAAATTTGATACTTTCTTTTTGTTTTAGTCTTGTTTAGAGGAACGGTGATGCGTATAAAAGTTTCGGTGACCACCGAATATAATTTTCTAACTTAATGTTTTTATAGCCGACGACTTTGTGGATTTAACTAAACCTATTTTCAGATTGTGTGATGTTTGATTGTCGCAGTTCAATTTATTTAGATTGAGCTTAGAACTCCAAAGCCGGATATAATGGATATAATTATATTCACCTGGAATGTTAAACTAATTAAAACACTCTCTATAATTACGTACTTATTAGACAACACTCGCTACCTGATTAATCGTAAAGATGACATCCATTCAGGTACATTAAATATTTTTTTATTTTATTTTTTTTTCTCTCTCTCTTTCGTGATTAAGGTAACAGACATGCTTGCTGCAATAACAATATTTTTATTTTTTATTTTTATTATTGATAGAGTAATGTATTTGTAAAAGGTTTTTTATTCCCTACATAATATATATTATATAGTTAATTCCATGATTTATTTTGGCGATGTTTACTTTAATCTCTTAAATTCATACCAACTAAGTACGATCTAAAACTTTTCAAACGATTGACTGAATGATTGCCTCCTGATGATGGCTGTAGAAAGAGGTATGATATGAATGAGAGAAACGATATGACAAACTGGTATAAATAAATGTTGTTGATAAAACCAATGGAAAATTATTGAATGAATATTGCGGCGTTTAATTAAAATTCTGTCATTAAAGTGAAAAGAAAATAAATTTCTTTTTTCCTATTTATCTATGGAGTTTGTAGTTACCATAACAAACATTAAAATTTCTCGTAATGATGATGACGTAAATGTACGATTAAGAGAGAATGAAACGATTGAATATAATAATTGCACAGTGGGTTGAACTTATAGCTTTTTACATCGCGACAAAATAGTCGAACGAAAGAGGCGTTCACAAATTCATCCCATGTTTCAAACATTAACTTATTTTCGCTGATTGTCTTACATTTTTTGCCGGCTTACCTAATGTTTTAAAAAAAAAAAAAAATAAATAAATAAATGAATAAATAAATAAAAACTCATAATCAAAGAAGAATGCTTCGATACGAAATTAGAGAATTGCTACTACTATCACCCCGAAGTAATTTGAGATTCTCCCTTGTGTCAGTTAGTATTTATATATCTAGACAGTTTTGAGTCCAGGCGCAGAAAATAAACAAGGTCATCGTAAATCTACTCATTATTTCATCGAGGGCTCGTTAACTAATCTCCCATACTCTATATTTATTGTGCACAAACACCGTCACCGCTATTAAGTTTACTCTTAACGCACCAGCATAGAAATTACAACGTGCGTGCATTTCATTCAGTATTTTGTTGTCAATGGTTACTACAAACTTATTCTGCCGTACGCATAGTACCGTAAGGCACTACACATATATATAATATATTAAAAAAAAAATTTATATTTGTTTATAAAAACAAAAATTATATCACTGTTCGTAACTATCAGTTCTCTAATATATCTCTCTAGTACCTTACTATATATTTTTGTATTAAGTGTATGTAAATTTTTTAGGACTTAATTGAGACTTTGAAAGTTCTACAATATTCGTTTCCTAAACGAAATTTTCTCCATTAAATTTCGAACTTCTCCCCAAACATGTCCATGAAATGACCTTGAAACCCCTGAACCCTGGAAATTCATAGCGTACAGTTGTATGTCAATTGATTGCACTAGCAACGAATATCTTTAGAATGTGTTTACGCTCGTGGGAACTCAATTTCAAATAAAAATGCTTTGGATCTTTGGTGGCTTCATGCAGACAATCCTTGACTGAACATGCAATTGAGAACGATTCGAAATTAACAACGTGCAATAAAAATTCTAATATGAATTATTGATTCGATTATCGAATTATAGATTTTCTTCTCCATTCTTTATCTCATTTCGCATAAAGCGTAACATATGCGATTCTGTCTTTCAGAAATGCGGCAAAGACAAAATAAGTCTTCGGTCTCACAAATTTCGAGATCGCTTTGCAACATGTAAAAATACGTACTAGAGATTAGAGAGATATAAATTTGTCTTAATCATCCCCTTTATATAATACATCGTTTAATAAAAGTCTCTCTTCGGTGTCACGTATATGGCAACCCTGCTAACAGACCCCTAATAATTTATGCGCACTATCAAACTTCGAACGATACATATCACAATTTCATAATATTCTGACAATTAGCTTACAAGTTACTATTGTTTTAGCAACGCTGCGTTTCTGGTCGCTTCGGACAGCTTCCAACCGGCTGGCTGCTGATTTCAATCTGGGATGCAGCAATGTCTTTTTATTTCACCTAAACAGCGCTGAGCAGCGATTTGAATCATTAAAACGCGGCCTGCACTCCGAAAAGAGCTTTTGCATGGAGAAATGCTTCAGCGAAATAGTAGATACTCCAATCAGACATGATATAGTGATTGCATGCTGACAGTCTGATAGCATGTTAGCATTCAAATCCGTATAGCAAAACTTGTCTAGGACGCCTTCGGATGAAATCGACGTTTCTTGAAAACTTAACCTAAATATATATTTACCAACATGCCCACCTATCCATTTCCATTCCATTTTCTTTTATATTTCTGCTCTCATTTAAGAGCATCACCCGCTCTAGAGTAGTTTTATAAAATGCCGGTACGTTTGTAATTTTATTAAAGTTTCGGTTTTTTTTTTTTCATATCATATTACCTAACCGCATTTGCGTCAACCAATGTAAGGATAATAAGAATGGGATGGCGTTTAAAATGCAAACACATCAAGGGAAAGTTTTTTAATTCTTCAGTCTTGAAAGACTAATAAAAGTTAGACAGACTTCCAAGTTTAACGCACTGTTTCTCATTTACCTTTTCTTTTCCTACTAATATGAATAATAAAATTCTTTACCATATTTTACACGAAGGGGTTTCTTTTGTTCATTTTAATTAATTACACTTTCTCTTTTGTTTTTTTTTTTTGTATTCTTTGTCACTGACTTTTCCAGAATTTCGTTGAAAAGAATTTCATCGTAATACAGCACTATTTTTATGCGTTCCGCAACTTGTGGCATATGCAACGCCATGAAGTACTTAAGGCAGACCGGCATTTTATTTAGCGAGTCGGTGTAGAATGGCTTTTTGAATCGATTGTCCCTCCGTCTTTCTGATACTCGTCCATATGTACTATTGCTTTTTAATCGACAGATCGAAGTTTTCAAGGCGCATGTTTCAGCACAAGAACGAATGCTATTAAAAAGGTATTGGATCCACCCAACTTGCCGACTCGGGGCCGTTGTATAAAAAAAGTTTGCAATTTTCAAAATTTCTTCACAAAAATCGCCGAGTATTAGTATTTGACCGCAAGTAGTTGACGTTGAAAATTCAGATCGGATGGGCAAATTTTTTGAGCCCCTTTTCATATAAATAAATGAGGCTTTATATGGTAAAACAGTCTAGTTTTTAATATATTGTGATGATATATGGACAGTGATACGGAAAAAGATATTATAGATAGAAGGATAAGAGATAAAAAGGGAAATGCTTAGGAAATAATGAGTCATTTTTAATATTTTATGATGAAAATTGGTTTATAAT